GTTTGCATTAGCCAGAAAAAAGATACAGTCACTGTGAAGACTTAAGTCTTTAGCAACTTCAGGGTAGAATGATTTTAAAACTGAGAACATTTATGAAGCAAGATTTTAAAAATCATAAGGAAATTTAGGGGGGGAAATGTAGAAAAGGTAATGCATTTTTTTCATTATTTTAATGAAAAATATCCAAAGCAAAGCTAGTAAAATATAAATTAGCATGGATATTTATTGTCAGGTGACTGGAAGGGAAAACTTGTGACAACATAGGAGCACAGGAACTCCCCTAATGGACTAAGTTTGCTGTCCACTAAGTCTAGTATCCTGTCTCTGACAATGGCCTGTGTACTTAGATGTTTGGAGGAAAGTGCAAGAATTCTTCTTATATGTTTGCACTCTAAAAGAATTACTGGCTTCAGCGGTCTTACGTAGCAGTACATTTCAGGGTCTAATTATGAATTCTGTGAAAAAAGTATTTTCCCTCACCAGCTCTGAACTTTTTCCACCTTTTGTTTCGTTGTTCCCCTGTTCTTGTCTTTTAAAACAAAGATGGCAGAAGTCCCTGGTACATCTTTTCTATACCATTCATTATTTTTTATACTTTTATCCTGTTCCCTCTTATTCAACTCCATTCTAAGGTCTCTTCTGCAATCTCTTTCCAGGACAGGCATTTCTCATGCCCTTGATCATTCTTGTCTTCTTTCTCTGAACCAGCCCCTAATTTTCTAACATCTTTTCATGATAGGGTGATCACTAGCTGCATGGTATATTCTACCGATGCTGCACCATCACCTTGCAAAAAGCAGCATGGCATTTCTTTATCCCATTTCTTACGCGGTCTAACATCTGTTGTTAAAATCATGGAGCAGAGGCCTTCACAGAGGCACCCACATTGTGTTCCTGAGCTGACAGTTAACTTATAACCTTATATGGTGGTATGAGTAGTTTAATGTTTTCTCTTCTATGTACATTGCTTTGCCTTTATGAAAACCGAGCATCATTTATTGTCATGTTGCCCATTCATCTACTTTGTTTTGGTCTCTCTGAAGTTCTCTTTTCAGTCCTTTATTGAAGTGTCTCTTTTTGGCCTAAATAGTATCTTATGACCATTTAGTCACGTTGGCTTACAACTTTTGCCTTCCTAATCCACTTCTTCTTCAGCAACACGTATACCTTCTGAGACTGTATAATAAAATGAGACAGGTATGTTCCTGTTAAGTTTCCCTTCCTATAGGCAGCACTTTATTATAATAAATCCTTAGGGATGAAATTAATGGATACTGCATAAAACCAAAGCAAGTGGATTTCAGGCCTAGAAGGTAAATGAGGACAGAGGAGGGAATCTGCTTCCCCAGCCCATGGGCAGACTGCATAGCTATTGACCTGTTTTATGTCCTGCTACCTTCACCTACATCCTAAATCCCGCATTAGCCCTTTTGCAACTGGTGTGGAGTCCCTATAAACAGTGTGACATGATTTCAGGGGTGTCTGCTTTCCAGTTTCCAGAGATTTGCAATAGCTTTATTTGGAGCTGAAGACACTGTATTCATCTTTGACACTGGGATGAATTCCATCCTGTAATAATATTATTTAAGTCTCCATTATTATTAGGTGGGCCACTTGTTTTACATCCATTTCCTTCTTTCCTGCTG